GAGGGGACAGGACCCCACCATTACCTCCTCCCTGATGAGTGTCAGCACCGCTGCCTTGTCGGGCTCGCTGAGGCCGATGCCACCCAGGTCACTCCTGCTGACAGCGGGGTCTTTGTCCACGGAGCACAGCCTGGGATTGTCCTGGGGAATTGTCCAGCTGGGATTGGGGGGGTTCCTTTGGACCCACCGCCCCTCTTTGGGGTGTTCTCCCCTATTTTATCACCTCTTTGGGATGCTCTCCCCTGTTTTATCACCTCTTTGGGATGCTCTCCCCTGTTTTATCACCTCTTTGGAGTGCTCTCCCCTGTTTTATCACCTCTTTGGAGTGCTCTCCCCTATTTTATCAGCCTCTGCTCAGGTGCTGAATTTCCCTCTCTGCACACACAGAGCCCAGGAGCTGTGTCTGACCTGGCACAGCTCTGGTGAGGTTTTAGTCCCTTCCCTTGATGGGAGCACGGAACAGAACAGCCGTGAGCTGCCCCACAATCCCAAAAGGGACACCCAAAAGGGACACCCAAAAGGGACCCCCAAAAGGGACACCCAAAGGGACACCCTCCGAGGGCCCATTTCTCCAGGAGATGTGCTCACATCCCCCATCCCTCATCCCACGCCTGTTTAAAACATCCCCAGCCTGGAGGGTCTGTGAGGGGCTGGGTCCCCAAGCCCTCCTGGTCTGTGGGGAGCTGATGGACTCAAATTGCTGCTGGCAGCTGCAGGGACATTTTCTGGGCACTGCTGATACCCAAATGCCCGAGGGAGTGTGGGGGGAGCAGAGCAGGGATCAATCACTGCCTTCCTCCCCAAAGCCAACTCCAAACGGGGAAAGCTCAGTCCCTGAGTGGATTCTGCCCCTACCCCCTGCTCTGTCCAGGATTCCAGAAACATCTCCCCAGGCCAGGCTGCTCCTCCTCCCATCACAGCCAAGGGACAGCATCTCCTTGGGAACGGCTGCCAGAAATAGAGACGGGCTGGAGGAGGGAGGCAGCGAGCTCCTGACGGTTTGGAAAGAGAGCACTGGAACACTTCTGCCCTTCTCCCCTTCTCCCCTCCTGAGCTGCTCACATCGAGCACCCCGAGCCCTTCCCGGCTCTCACTGCAGCCCTGGTGGGTTCTGGACCCTCCCCAGGACAGCTTTGGGTCCCCAACTCTGACAGGTTCAGCCCCGGGSTGCTTTGGAGCCTCTCACAGTCTCCCCAAAAACAGGAGCCCACCTGAGCACCCCCAGGTGACCCCGGGCTCTCCTGGGCACCAAACCAAAGGGTCACTTTGCCTCCCGTCCTTGTGGGGCTCAGCACAGTTAAATCTGTCTCAGAGAGGCTGTTTGTGCTGATGTTGCTAATCTCACTGTCACCTGCTCGTCCACTGGAGCAGCTTTGGGCAGGGCAGCTGAACTGGCACCTTCAGGGGTGGCCCCTGCAGCAGAGGGGTCTGGGGGCTCCTCGGGGTGTGCCAGGGGTGCCCTGCATGGCAGGGACAGTGAGACTGCAGGTCCCTGGCCAGCTGTGTCCCCTCCCCGTGCCCTCC